CATGTGTTTTTTTTTATATGAATGATTATCGCTAATTTTATTTTTAACAAATTATACATCAGTTATAAACATTGAGTTATAAGTGTCAAATCAAGTGGTGCATTATTTTTTTTTCATAATATATTGAGTACAAACATTGAGTTTGTAACGGGCGGTTCGGCCGAGCCATCGATAGGTGCCGTGGTGGTGCCGACCGCTCGCTCTATTAATAAAAAATATTCGGAGGCAGCATTCGAGAAATCTGAGATGTTCTTTCGATTAGGTATAAGACCGATCGTTTCGAAGCGTAAGCAGAGGTGAACAGAACAAGGCCGAAAATAATGTTAAAAGTTACGTGCAATCTTCGTAACATGAATGTGTAAATTTCGCGGTAATGGAAATTGATTTGGTATGTGCAAAAAGCTAAGTACATCATGTAACTGATGAATATAATTGTAGAGTAAACAAAGTACGGTTTAGAGTACACAAATTTCGATGATACGATATTGTACGGAATAAATCCCATTAGACGAGCGATGGAAACGTATGGGCACATCAACTGCACGTAATTCGCGATCGAGTTCAATGAACATTTAACTCGCTCCTTCGCCGACGATCGACGATACATTTTTCTAATATCCAAAATGAAACGTTTGAATTTAAATTGGATTATGTACCGATGTTCGTCAAGTGACGCAAGTTTCCTAACTGTTGGAAAGTTGAGAATGCTAACAGAATCGAACTCGTTCGTGAAGCGTCAACGGAGTTTAATCATCTTTATGAGAAATATCGATTCGCCGATGAAAAACGTTTTACGGTATTACTAAGGGACGTGGCATTATCTCGGATAAAACAAATCGATTGAACTAATTCAAGGCAAAGTGTTTTATCAATTCTACTTGGTCTTATCTGAAAACTGTATCAAAGCGTTGTTACATATTCAACAGTTTTTAATCGTCTCGTCTATCATTGAAACGTTATTCTACGACTTTCTCAGATTCTCATCGAACGTAAATAATGATAAAACGATATACTGGCGATGAATTGGATTAAAATAACGATGTTATCGTTCGTGGAAAATATTCTAATAAAACAAATTTCGATTCGAGTTATGTATATCGCTATCGTTATTTTCTCAATTGGGAGCCCATCGTTTAATATCATTTCGAAACGATACCAGTTCATATTTTTCGTAATAAGTAAGCAGTTCGATGCAGGAAATAATTAAATTTCTAAACCGCAAGTTTGGCTCCAGACTCGAGCGATTTTTCTCTCTTCTCTTCGCGTGCTGACCCCCCACTACTGTATTTTGTCCTCGCTTACGTTACCCATGGACATGCCTCTGATGCGCCTACCGGCATTGAGTCTTGGATTTCTCGGTTAACCAAATAATTAAAATTACTTCTAAGACATGATAAAATACGAAGAACAAGTTGATGGAGAACAATTCTGTGACTCTGCCTCCTTGATTTATCATTACAAGGTACTTGTAAAGATTAAACGAGATATCGATCATTAACAAGATCAATATCGTCAGAATAGGTGCACCAAACGCTGAGTCCATCATTCTAACGACTTCGCTGATCTCCAGGTGCTGCTTCTTAAGCGTCCTCAGCTCGGCCAGTAATATGGGATTCTTTCGCGAGTGATAAACTCTCCTGAGCAAGTGAGGCTCGTCGTTAATTAAAATTTCCCTCAGCTTCACGAGAGCGTCGTTTATCTCTTTGAGACAGGCTTCCAGCACGTATACGTTATTCGTGTACAGCGTGTTTATCATGAGAATCGCGAAGAAAATAATCCAAACGGCACACAGCAGTGGTTTTGTGTAATTCGTGAACTGGTACAGAGTCAAACTGAAGGACAGGAAGAACATCAGCGCGTCTTTCGTGTACATGTTCTTAGCCAAGCTGGAAAAAATATTCGGAGGCAGCATTCGAGAAATCTGAGATGTTCTTTCGATTAGGTATAAGACCGATCGTTTCGAAGCGTAAGCAGAGGTGAACAGAACAAGGCCGAAAATAATGTTAAAAGTTACGTGCAATCTTCGTAACATGAATGTGTAAATTTCGCGGTAATGGAAATTGATTTGGTATGTGCAAAAAGCTAAGTACATCATGTAACTGATGAATATAATTGTAGAGTAAACAAAGTACGGTTTAGAGTACACAAATTTCGATGATACGATATTGTACGGAATAAATCCCATTAGACGAGCGATGGAAACGTATGGGCACATCAACTGCACGTAATTCGCGATCGAGTTCAATGAACATTTAACTCGCTCCTTCGCCGACGATCGACGATACATTTTTCTAATATCCAAAATGAAACGTTTGAATTTAAATTGGATTATGTACCGATGTTCGTCAAGTGACGCAAGTTTCCTAACTGTTGGAAAGTTGAGAATGCTAACAGAATCGAACTCGTTCGTGAAGCGTCAACGGAGTTTAATCATCTTTATGAGAAATATCGATTCGCCGATGAAAAACGTTTTACGGTATTACTAAGGGACGTGGCATTATCTCGGATAAAACAAATCGATTGAACTAATTCAAGGCAAAGTGTTTTATCAATTCTACTTGGTCTTATCTGAAAACTGTATCAAAGCGTTGTTACATATTCAACAGTTTTTAATCGTCT